AAAACTCTTCTCATCTGGCTCACTGAGGAGGGGACGAAGAGGGCCGGAGGTATGTCTGTGGATGTGGCCTGTTATGGTATTGAAAATAATCTCTCTGGCCTGGAGGATGGTAAACGAGTAAGTAGCTCCACCTGTGGGAGTCATGGCTGTCCAGAGACTTAATGTTCATTAGTAATTGACATGGAGCCCCTTATCAGTGATGTCCCAGCTCTTTGGATTGAGTTGGTGAATGCACAAGTGAGGCATTATAGTTTGAGTATCAGGTTGGCAATATTCAAACAGCTTAAAAGCTGTTGACTTTATAGCTATGGGTTTGGGAAGACTGGGCATAGAGTTGGCAGAACATTTCTTGGCATTTACTTGGGTCATAGCGGATCCTTAAATGCCTGCAAGTAGCCCGTTGGATGTACTTGAAAGGATGTTGAAAGACCATCAGGGCAAGTGAAAATCGACCACAGCCAGGCACGACCTGATATTTAAAGGTGCCCTTCTCTTCTGACGGATGAAATTAATTTTACTGTGGTCGATGTGTTCTTGCTAGTTTACCCAAATGAAGGAAGCAGGAAACAAGGCCACAGACAAAGGCAACTACAGCAGCAGCAACAACCAATGAGTGAACAACTGCAGACACACATTTAGAAGACCAGGTGTGTGTATTCCACGCTATGCTTTAACCCAGACTTGGAAGCTTGTACCTGGGCAATGTGTCCTGCATATTGACTACAAAGCAACTATGTTCCAGCACCAATTTTCTTTTTCTTCTTCTTTTTTTTTAAAGAATGATTTTATTTAACTTTATTTATTTATTCATTTTATTTATTTATTTTAATTTGACCAGAGAGGGACAGAGAGAGAGAGAGGGAGAAAGTGAGAAAGCAAGCCACCAGGTCTGGAACTCAAACCGTGGTCGATAATGTGGATCATGTGGGAATCCAGTGCCCTTAACCACCATACCACCTGCTGGCCCTCCTAACACCAGCCAGGGGTCCTGCAATTCAGTTCTGACACTGCCCAGAGTGAGGGTCAGATTCCATGGGCTTAAGGCTCAATCCCCAACAAGGCTGCTCCCCAGACACCTGCTATAGGTTTCCAGTGTCCATGGGCCACCCACACTTCTGTCAACTGACAACAAATTTGGGGCTGCTCATTTCCTTCAGGTTTGGTGGTTTACTAGAATGACTCACAGAACTCAAGAAAATACTGTATTTACAATTACTGTTTTGTTATTAAAGGGTGCAAATAAACAGCCAGATGAAGAGATATAGAGGACACGGTCTAGGAAGGTCCTGAGCACAGGAATGTTTTGTTTCTGTTGAATCAGGTTATGCCACCCTCCCTGATATCCCAACGTATTCACCAACTGGCAATATCCCCCTGAGCTTTGGTCTCCAGAGTTTTTGTTGGGATTTTAGCATGTAGGCATGACTGAGTCATTGGTCTTGTGTCTGAACTCAATTTCCATTCCCTCTTTCCTCTTTGGGGGTTGGGTTGGTCGCTGAAAGTTCTAGACCTCTAATCACTTGGCTGTTTTTTCTGGTGACCAGCCTTATCTTGAATATTATATATATTGCTGGACTTCCACGTAGTTGACTATGCTTCGAGTCCTGGACCCAGTGACTAAAACTAATGCCAGGTGCATGAGTGTGCATGCACAAAATCCCAAGAGGAAAATGGAGGAGTAGGGATTGTGATGTGGCTATCCCTCCTGGGGGCTGATTTCTTGCTTTCTGTCTCTGTCTCTCTGGGGAGTGCACATGCCCTATAGCAAAAATCTCATTAAAAAATGATGATGTCGAAGGGTTTTATAATGACATCCAACCAATATGTGAATTCTGATTCTTCTTTAGGTTTCTGGGTTTCCTTATATTAGTGTAAATAAAATGCCAGTCCATCTAAGTATGGTTTTTTATTATCGTTGATCAGGTCATATGCGTTCCTGATGTTTCTTCCACGTACCGAGTGCCTGTGATTTTGGAGGAACAAGGCATTGTTAAATATTTTAAAGAGAGACTGAACCTGCCCATTGGTGATTCTGCAAGTAATTTGCTTTTCAAGTGGAGAAATATGGCTGACAGGTACGTGAAAAGACTTACTTATGTGATCTTTAATGATTCCTAGTTTGGGGCAGGACAAAGACATATTTTAAAGGGTAAGTATGTCATATTTGACATTCTGTATGTGTATGCGAGTGATTTTGATTTATTAGTTGATTTCTTAGCTTTTGAATATTTAAAATGTGCAAGTTTTTTGCCTTTTTTTTTTATGAGAGAGATGGGGAGAGAGGGAGGGAAAGGGAGTGAGACAGAGATAGGCATTTTGACAGGGTCTTGCTGTGTCATGATCCTCCTGGCCTGGCCAGTCTCTGCCACCTGTTTTTCTTTTCCTGAATGTAGTTGAGGCATGACTCCACAAAGTCGTAGGCTGGCCACCTTCCTGTGTAGCTCAGGTCCGAGGCAGCAGGTGTAGTCATGACACCTGTAGATCTGGATCCAGACCCTGGACCCTGCTCTTACTGGCTGTGTGAGTTTGGGCAAATTATTTAACCTGTCTGCACTTATTCCCCTGCCTATATACACAGGGGATACCAGTACCTACCTAGTTATGAGAGAAAATACGTAAGCACTTAACATCAAGTTCGGCATGACTAATCAGACTATAGTCCTCTTACCCTTTCACTTCGAATGTTTGAAAAATGCTTTAAACTTTCTGGGGCAAGTAGGATCAGGAATAAAGTGTAGTTTCTGAACTTACTCTAATATGTGATGATACATTTAAGCCCCTGCCCTCCAGAATGCTTAAAGAATCAGTCATTTTGCAGCAATTTTCGGAAGCACTTGGGGCTGATCTTCATTAAGCCCTGAAAGTTTAAATATTTTCACTCTTTTTGTAGAAAATAACTCTTGAATTGGCAGTGTGGTGCAGTAGAAACACTGCTCAAGAGAAGTTGGATGCCGCGTGGCGACTGGGGTTCAAATCCCTGGCCCAGTCGGCCTGAAACACACCGGGCATGTATATGACTACCTCGGATCTGATGCTGAAGGACTGGAGGAAGGGGGTCATGAGCAGACCCTGTGGAGATGAGATGCTCATTTCTCCCTCTCATGTACTTGCACAGGCTCTGTCATGAATAGAGAAAAAAATACTTTTTTTAAAAAAAAGAAAATAGTAGGGCTGGCAGGTGGCGTGGTGGTTAAGGGGGCTGGGCTCCCACATGGCCAACCATGGTTCGAATCCTAGGCCCAGCAGCTTGCTTTTTCACTTTCCCTCTCTCTTGCTTGCTCTTGCTCTGTCCCTCTCTGCTCAAAATAAAAAATAAGTAAATAAATAAAGTAGAGTAGAAATAATTCTTTAAAGAAAAATAGCTCTAAATTATCCTTTATGCTTCCATTGCCTTTTTAATTTTATTTACCAGAGGACATGTGCCCTTGCTAGAGAGAGACAGAGAGTGAGTGAGAGAGAGAGAGAGAGAGCACATCCTCTAGGGGCACAGTCATGCCAGAATCCCTTCTCTTCCAGCTCTCCTTCGTTTTAGAATTTTGGACATGCACACACATGTACCTGGTCTGTTTTTCAGTCTGTTGGGTCAGAGGCTTGAACCATCCAGTCAGTCATATGGGATCTAGCTGCCTTAAGCACCATGCTACTGGCTGGCCCTGGTCTTTCTATTAGTTTCCTGTGGCTGCCACCCATCTTCGCTGTTCCTTGGCTTGTGGCCACATCTCTGTAGTCTCTGTCTCCATCTTCACGTCACCTTCTTGTGTCTTTTCCCTTTCTTGTATAAGGATGCTTGTCATTGGATTTAGGGGCCCCCAGTTCAGGATTGTCACATCTGCAGAGCCTTAACTGTGTCGGCAAAACCCCTTTTTCCCAACATGGTCACAGTCACGAGTTCTGTAGGACATACTTCTGGAGGGGAGAGGGAGGCGCCATTCAGCCTACTACAGTTCGCCAGCAAAGGCTATAGTATGCATTGCTCAAGTATTTGTGAGTCACACTTTGGGACAAGCACCTGCCTCTGATACATGGCTTGCTACCAACTTGTTTTCTGTTATCTACATCCTTTATTTATTCTTCTTCTTCTTTTTTTAACACTTTTTTTTTTTTGGAGAGGTTTTTGCTATAGGGCGCATGCGCTTGCCAGACAGACAGAGAGAGACAGAGAGACAGAAAGCGAGAAATCACCCCCCAGGGGGGATGGCCACACTGCAATCCCTTCTCCTCCATTCTCCTCTCGGGATCTTGGGCACGCACATACACGCGCCCGGTGTGAGTTTTAAGCCACTGGGTCTGGGACGCGAACCATGGTCAACTACGTGGGAGTCCAGCGACATAGCCATTACGCTAACTGCTGGTCCCCTTATTACTATTCTTTAGATCCCTGCCATAGAGTATGTGCACTTACTGGAGAGAGACAGAGAGAGAGGAAAAGTGAGAAATCACCTCTGGGGAGATGGCTATGCTGCAATCCCTTCTCCATTCTCCTCTTGGGATTTGGGGCATGCATGCACAGGCGTGTTTTCCATGCAGCCAGGTCCAGGACTTGAACGTGGAGTCAGCCGTGTGGGGTCCAGTGCTTTTAACCTCCACACCACCTGCTGGTCCCTTTTTATTTATTTATTTTTGAAGACAAGAGTCTCGCCATGAATTTTAGGTGCATGCCACTGTGCCCAGCCTTTAGGTTACACTGAGAATCGAAGCCAAGCCTCTCCTGCAGACCCAGCCTGTGGAGCACAGCGTCGCAGTGGTGCACACACAGGGGGGGCCAGGTGCCTGCACCGTCTGTGGCGAGGTGGTGTGATGGGCAGCTCCAGCATCATCAGAGCAGCATATGATTGGTGGGGAGCTGGCGCTCTAGCACCTTCTCTCAGGTGTGTTCGCCACCTCTCTAGGAAGTATGCTCTTCCACCAGCGTGGCCTCCTTAGCTTCCTGTGCACCTGACTCCACCCGGCCTGTTTGCCTTCACCTTTCTCTTGCACTCGTGGCAGGTGTTGATGTGAAAGAGGGTCGTTCCTCATCACAGCGACAGTTTTCTGAGGTGTTTGGGGGAGGGCTTGCTTCAGAGCCCGGGAACATCTTCAGCCCCAAGATGACATTTCCACATATTTAATACCAGACCAGGTATTTTTTTGCCTTCTTTGAACAGATTTCCTGACAAAAGCAACACTAAAGATTGTGTCTCTAATGGTAAAATGTGATTGAGTGTCTCCTGTAGAATGGAATTTACTCATAAAAATGATCTAAATGGCTTGTAATATTTTAAATAGTTCTCTTAGCACCATTCTTCAGGCATGCCAGGAGGAAGCGACTTTTGTGGGCCAGCTGGGAATGAAACGATTTTAAGCGTAGATACTTTCATGCTTTTTCTTTCACAATGTCACCTTACCAAGTTAATGTCGGGATGTTACCTACTATTAAGCAGAAGGCGTTTTCTTATACAATCTCACCTCATAACCTAATTTAGGAACAGCTCATGGCTATGAGATGGGGACGGCCCTCCCTTCCTTCCTTCCTTCCTTCCTTCCTTCCTTCCTTCCTTCCTTCCTTCCTTCTTTCTCTTCCTTCCTTTCCTTTCCTTACCTTTGTATCTGATTTGTCTGTTCTTCCCTTCCCCTCCTTCTTTCCCTCGTTACTCTTTCCTTCTTTTCTTTTTTCCTCCATAACCAAGGGCAAGAGAGACAGAGAGACACACAGAGAGAGATAGCACTCTCAGCAGGGTTTCAGCACCATGATCCTCCTCCAGCTTCAGCCAGCCCCAGCAAGGTCTCCAGGTGTGGACTGGATTCATACTTCCCATGTGGGTCAGCTTCACAGAGCATGGTATTTCACCACTGTACCACCATGTGGTCCGGATTTATTTCTTTAAATTGTCAGAGAGTGTGTGTGCTCTCCATAGAGAGAGGGAGAGAGCGTGAGAGAGAGAGAAAGAGAGAGAAAGAGAAAATCTTTCAATAGGGCTTGGTCACACCACAATCTCTTCTCTATTTATCCATCTCATTGGGATTTTGGGCATGCATGCACATGTGCCTGGTATGGTTTTAAGCCACCAGCGTGAGGATTTGAACTGTGATCAGCCATGTGGGATTTGACTCTCTCTCTCTCTTTTTTTAAGAGAGAAATTTTTGCTTTAGGGTGCATGTGCTTGCAAAGAAACAGAGAGCGACAGAGAGACAAAAAGCAAGAAATCACCCCCTGGGGGGATGACCACGCCACAATCCTTTCTTCATTTTCCTCTCAGGATTTTGGGTTGACTATGTGGGACTCCAGTGATGGAACCACTGCGCCATCTGCTGGTCCTGGGATCTGACTCGTAACCATCAGATTATGACCCAGCCTCTTATTAATTAATTAATTATTTAAAAATAATTAATTTATTTAATTCCATTTGTTATTATTATTATTATTATTTCAATTTTCCCAAAGAGAGAGAGAAAAGGAAAGTGAGAAAGCAAGTTGCCAGGTCTGAGACCTGAACCATGGTCAGCCGTGTGGGAGTCCAGCACCTTAACCACCATCCCACCTCCCAGCCCTCCTTATTAATTTATTTCTTTAAGATGGGATTTCATGGCGTTGAGATCCTCCCATCTTAGACTCCTAAGCAGCTGGGATTACAGGTGTGTGTCACTGTACCTGGCCTTTAGGTTGGACCAGTTATCAAACTGGGCCTCCCACAGTATCTTCGCAGCTTGTGCTACTGTGACTAGACCTTAAATTTTTTTTAAGAGAGATTTTTTCTATAGGGTGTGTATAATAGCTGGAGAGACAGAAAGCAAGCAAGAAACCAACCCCCAGGGGGGATGACCACACCACAATCCTTTCTCCTCCATTCTCCTCCTCGGATCCTGGGCATGCATGCACACACGCCCGGCATAAGTTTAAGCCACCAGGTCCTGGACTTGAACCGTGGTCAACTACATGGGAGTCCAGCCACATAGCCATTACATCAACTGCTGGTCCCTATTTACTTATTTTCTAAAGAATCATTTTATTCATTCATTTATTTTAATTTGACTAGAGAGAGACACAGAGAAAGAGAAAGAAGGGGAAAGAGAGAAAGCAAGCCACCAGGACTGGGACTTGAACTGTGGTCAGCCATGTGAGAGTATCCAGTGCCTTAACCACCACGCCACCTGTTGGTCCTCTATTTACTTATTTATTTGTTTATTCGTTGTGATTTTCGGACCGCCAGATCCAGGACTTGAACCGTGGTTGACCATGTGGGAGTCCAGTACTTCAGCCACAATGCCACCTGCTAACCCTGGGATTTCATACGATTTTTAAGTCCGTTTGGTGGGCAAATTTTGCATCTTGGGGTGTTTGAGCCGAGTATATCAACACATCATGTTGTATGTGCCTAACATTTTAAAATGTGTCTTGGGATAAGAGTGGTGGCTGCCAACATTAAATTTTCATGTTCTGTTATACACATGTAACCTTTGCACTTGTCTTCCTTCCCAGGTATGAAAGGCTACAGAAAACATGCTCTATTGCGCTGGTCGGCAAATACACTAAGCTCAGGGATTGCTATACCTCTGTGTTTAAAGCCCTGGAACACTCGGCCCTGGCCATCAACCACAAGTTGAATCTGATGGTGAGTCCTGGCCTGTTATTCCAGATATTATAGTCATTCACTCTAATATTTCCTGTTCTAGAGAGGCAGATTGTATTGAAGGGTCCTGGAGACCATCTCAGGATTGATGAGTCCAGAAGGACTCATAGGACTCAGCGTGGAACACTATTCACAGTTACGATTTGTCATAGTCAAAGAATACAGAGCAAAATTAGCAAAGGAAAAAGTCGCATGGGGTAAAGTGTGAGGGAAGCCAGGTGCAGACTTTCCCTAGTGGAGTCTCACAGATTAAGCTCAATCTCCCCAGTAATGAGTTGTGATAATACAAGGGGACCTTTCAATGGAATTTATTTTGGTGCAAAAAGTATTTGCAATCTGTGCATAGTTTTCTTTTAATGTACACTTTCCATGAACTTTCTGAAGCCCCTCATCTGTGTGAAATGCTGTCCACTAAGGAAACTCCTTAGAGACTCAGGGCCCAGAGATTGTTCTTTTTTTTTTTTTTTTTTTTTTTTTAAGAATTATTTCTTTAATTTTTATTTATCATCATCATTATTTTTTAATCTGCTACAGTGCATGTGCACTCACCAGAGAGACAGAGAAGGAGAGAAAGTGAGAAAGCAAGCTGCCAGTTTCAGGACTCAAACCATGGTTGGCCCTGTTGGAGTCCAGCGCTCCCAATCTCCACGCCACCTGCTGGCCCCAAGGCCCAGGGCTTTTATACTCACGTGGGCAGCCTCTACTTGTACCCAAATTCCAAAGGAAAGTGGTTGCTCAGCATAGTTATATTGATTGTACAAACACTTCAGGCACAATAAGCCATTCTTACTAGTTCTTAGATAAGAACTGGGGGAGCGGGAGTCCTCCTGAAATCCAAGTTTTCAGATGCCGGCCAAGGGCCACCCTTGTAATAGGCCTTTCCAAGAATAGCAGTTAGGCTTGATGTGTTAACTTTTTTCTACAAATGGGTTAAAAGCACATTTCTGAAACTAGACTTTACGTATCCAAGTAAATATATACTTTGGGCTCATATAACAAGCTTGTATTTGCCTAACAAGAAAATAATAGAATGCTTTTCCCCTGTAGCATTGGGATAGAATCGAGATTTTAAATGCAGCATTCCTCTTGTAACTTGGAGGAGTGAAATCTGGCAAAGTGATTATTACTATTATTGGATATTTGCCATAGGTGCATGTGCTTGCTGGAGAGAGAGAGCGACAGAGAGAGAAGGAAGGTGAGAAATCACCCTCCAGGGAGGATGGCTACACCACAGTCCCTTCTCCTCTATTCTCCTGCCAGGATTTTGGGTATGTATGCACATGTGTTATTCAGACCGCCAGGTCCAGGACTCAAACATCAGAGTCAGCCAGGTGGGATCCAGCATCCTAACCATGCTGCCTGCTGCCCCAATTATTATTACTTTTTAGTCAGTATTATGGGATAGCAGAGGTATAGTTATCATATAAAGTATATTTATCATATATAGCTTGAGTATATGCTTTATTTTTGTTGGGTCTAGAAGTAGAACATGCTCAATGTAAAAAATTTAAACAAAGCATAAATGTTAAATGCAGATGCATTCGGATAGTAATGTTCACAAAAGAAATATTAAAACATTAAAGCTATATACAAATAAAACATTGTATATCTATCTTTCTATATAGATATAGATATATAAAATATATAGATATAAGAGTTGGCAGATGGCATTGTAGTTATTTTGCTAGACTCCCACATGGTTGATTGTGGTTTTCAAGTCCTGGGCTTGATGGCTTGCAAATCATACCGGGCGCATGTGCGTGCATCCCCAAAATTCCAGGAGGGGTATGGAGGAGAAGGGGTTGTCCATGTGGCAATCCTCCCTGGGGAGGGGAGTAATTTCTCAGTTTCTCTCTCTCTTTCTCTCTTTCTCTGGTGAGCGCATGCATCCTATGGCAAAAACGTAAAAAAATTATATATATATATGTGTGTGTGTGTGTGTGTGTGTATGTATACAAAATACATATATGTGGCTGGTATGTACATAGGAATCAATGTGCTTGATGTTTCATTTAATAGAATTCATTGACATTAGCTTCTGCTAAGCACTGTTTGAATCTTGGCCTCATGATTTATATATATGTGTGTGTCTGTGTGTGTGTGTGTGTGTGTGTGTGTGTAATTTTAAAATTAAAAAATTTTGTTTTAGATTTTTTGCCATGGTGTGTGTGCTCACTGAAGAGAGACACAGACAGAGAAAATGAGAAATCACCCCAGGCGGGGGGGGCGTTGCTGGTCATGCTGCATTCCCTTCTCCATGTCCTCTTGGGAATCTGGGCACACACGCACATATGCCCAGTGTGTTTTTCAGGCTGCTGAGTCTGGAACTGGAACTGTGGAGTCATCCGTGTGATCTAGCACCTTGACCACAATGCCACCTGCTGGCCCCTTGCCATATATTTTTTAAAAAATTTAATTTTATTTATTCATTCATCTTAATATGACCACTAACACACACACACACACACACACACACATCAAGAGAGAGAGAGAGAGAGAGAGAGAGAGCAAGCCACCAGGTCTGGGACTTGAACCTTGGTCAGCCATATTTTTTTAAGACCAGTTTGTTTTTGTTTTTCTGGCCCAGCTTGCTGCAATAGCGTTCTGACTGGTTTCCAGCTACCAGTCTTCTCTCCATTTAACATACCAGATGCTCGTTCCTCTGACTTCAGACCTTCCACTGGTGTACTGGTCTGCTCGGGCCATTGTCACCGAGTGCCATAGACTGGGTGCCTTATAGACACTAGATATTTACTGCTCACAGTTCCAGAAGCTGGAAGTCTGACATCAGGGTGCTGGCAGGGTCAGGTTCTGGTGAGGACCCTAGGGCCCTTTTCTGGGTTGTAGATAGCTGACGTCTGGCTCTATCCTCATGTGGTGGAAGGATGAGGGAGCTCTCTGGAGCCTCATGTAAGGGCACTGATAAGGCTCTACCTCCTAATACCATCACCTTGGAAGTTAGCATTTCAACAAACGGATTTTGGGAGATGTGAACTTTGAGACCATTGCAAGTGACTTCAAATATAAACTGTATCATAGCTTCTCAGCTCCATCCCTTGCTTCCCCCCACCAATGAGGTGTCTCCTCTCGCTGGGCAGAGCCTCTTTCAAGGGTACCAAAATGTCCACCACTTTCTTTTCTCTGGGGTTTTATATGAGCTGTTCGTTTGTCCAAGATTTCATATCCTTCTTCCCTCGTCTCTCATTTTTTTCTTTTTGAGAGGTTTTTGCTATAGGGTGTATGTACTTGCCAGAGAGACAGAGAGAGACAGAGAGACAGAAAGCGAGAAATCACCCCCCAGGGGGGATAGC